AACTGTACTCTGAGTATGGTTACTTATGAATTGATTGACAGTAGTGTATTTTTAGAAATATAATCTGACATCAGAACAACTGTCATAAAAAGGAGATTTGTGACTTCACTGTTTTTCAAACTTTGGTACATAAAATGTTCATGTAGGAGACTAGTGGTCAGATCCAGAAAGTCACTGATAATCTAGGTTTCCAGGGCCTTCCATGTCTGACAAACACAGTGACAAATACAATACACATCTGAAACAAAAGGAGGACAACCCTTGAAGTGTATTCTTAGCAGTGCTCTGTCTCAAATTTGCACCAATGTACTAGCATAGAGACAGGCCTTTAAACTTGTAGGAGGTCCAGCTAAGGAAGTTGTAGAAAGCATGTGTATGAAGACAAACCCAGTTAATTGAATATTAATAATAATCCTTTGTACCATACTTTGCTCAGCTTGACCACTGGGTAGATGAAGACAAACGGTTTGAAATGCCAAACAGACAGAGGATACATTAGGACAGTGAGGGCAACTCATGGTCAGAATGATGATCAATGCAACACATACTCCAGAAATCATCAGTGCACCGGTATGGCTCTCACATTTTTGGTGGTGACTCTCACTCAAGAAGTAGAAGAGGTTTTCCCCACCCAGAAGGAGCTGCAGTTATGCTGACTTTCAATCATCTGAGTAACTTGATCAACCACCTGCATAAGCTGTTTAAAGACTGTGGTTGTTATGCTGGCTGTGAGTTTGTCAATTCCAGTGATAGTCCTGGACAGGCAGCTGATGTGGAAGTAACAGAAAGTGCTACAGCTTTACCTCAACCAGACACAACTGCACAAAACCCAGAATCCCAATCACAAACAACTTACATACTTAATATTTCCACAGAAGCAGAAACTGTTAAGATCTCTGATTGAAATGTGCACATGCCAAACATTTCTTCTGCTCTCCCACAAGCACAACCAACTGTGGAAGCTCAAAGCCCAGGGAAAAATGCATACAGAGCACCACCAAAAGATCTAGAATTTAATCTAGGGGTAGATCAAACAAACAAACCAGTAAAAAGATTATCAAAACTAAACAAAGGATGTCGAAAAAAAGCAAGGCGTACAAGTAATTCTACTCCCTGTGAAATGCCTCACAATGTCAGTGTCACGGTTATGTATTCRGTGTCCCTCTCCTGTGTTCCCCTCCTTGTCCCTCGCTATGTTTCACCCTGTGATTCTCCTGTGTTCTCTGTGTCCCTCTCCTGTGTTGTTCTCTGTCCCTCTCCTGTGTTCCCCTCCTTGTCCCTCGCTATGTTTCACCCTGTGCCTCTTCTGTGTTCATC